GACCCTAAACGTGTGCCTGAACCCTAGGCCCTAAGCCCCGTGGGCCTGAACCCTAGGCCTTAAGCCCTCCACGCTGAAATACTCGCCCTACAACTATTACATAACACTTAAGCCCAAACCCTGAAACGAAGACCAGGCCTGAAGGGAGTTGACCCCTGAATGAACCTAAGCCCTAGACTTAAACCCGGAGCCCTTTAATCAATAAACACAACGTCCAGGAATGATTGCATGTTATTCAATGTGTTAACTTGGTGCAATTTTTGGGAGGCATCAAACTGCGGTGTGCGATCTTCGCAGATTAATGAAATAATTATCAAACCTGACATCCATTTTTGACTCAGAGGCCCGTAGTTTCCCTTTGCCACCATATTCCATTCTCCCTTGTATCGCCCGAGTGTCATTTTCTGCTGTCAGGGCTTCTGCGACTACATGATGGGCAACATCTTCTTGCTCGAGCCCACGAACATCGCTCGTTCCCCCTCGCCCGAGTCGCCACGAACCCCCCTCGAACCCCCCAACCCTTCGTCGAAGTTCGTCGCACCTGCGGGGGGGTTCGCCGAAGTTCGCCCCAGCTGGGTGGCGCCCCCCCAGAGTAGCGCCTACAGATAGTTAGCCTACAATAAGGGTTAGTAACAGTTAGTAACAGTTAGCATCAGAATGTATAAGACATAAGAGTTCCTGCAAGGATTTAGGGTATAGTATAGGGTTTTAATAATTTGAACTGGGTTGCTTGATAGGGCTTCGACTACTATACTTGATCGTTTAGGATATAGTACAGGGGCCTTTGCAATTGGAATTGGGTTTGTCAGCAGCATATCATCGTGGGTTGGACAAACCAAGACCATAAACTGAACCCTAAACCCAAATCAAACCTAAACCGATAGGGCCCACAAGCAGGACACTCTTTCAAAGTAGGTTTGTGAATTTCGGCCTCCCCGACGATCGACACCGATTGCCGCGGGTCGGCGTCAGACCTAGGAAACCCTAGACCATAAGCGCCAGAGAATTTGCCTATGCTGGACAAGTGTGTGAATGCCTTCGACTCTCCCCACAATGTGAAGCTGCAGGTTTTGAAGGTGGTGAACTATGCATTTTGTCGCTTTTCAATGAGAACACCAAAATTCAACCCGCATGGAGCCTTCTAAAGTTTCATGAGCTTTAAAACACCGAACCTACTAATTAAGTACGAAATCTCAATCCCTAAACCACTGTCAGCCCTAAACCCTCAACCATAGCAACATCGTAGTAGCACTCGTATTGACATTACTCGTACAAACCTTGACAAAGTCTGTAAAGCTCTACACACATCTTTGAACTGTGGATGAGGTGAAATTCGACATAACCAAAAGTTGGAATAAAGAATCCTCACTCACCTCAACCGAAAAAACTCTTAAGTTAACTCCTGCCTTGAATTTCTGATTAAAGCGGTATGCTTTGCAGAGCCTGTCCGGGAATCCTGAAAGGAATCAGAACCCTAAAACCCAACTTGTGAACCCTAATCTAAGACAGGGCCGATTTGGTTTGCATCAACGCCGCCGCCTCGGCAGCGGCGGCTGGGCGTCAGGCTGCGGTTGTCGAGGTACCCAGGGAGCAGATTAGGAAAAGAGGTTTCCTTAGACATTTCCTCGAAGGGTACAATCTTTTGGGTTTTGCATTTTCGGGCTTTGGGGTTTGCTTTATCGTGTAAGGTTTAAACTTTCGGTTGTTGTTCCAGGGTAAGCTACAAACAACATAAATCCTAAGCCCGAAACATCCCTAAACACCCTAAGCACGAAAACCCTAGACCCCAAATCCTAAGCCCTTTAGACCTTGAACCCAAAAAACCCAAAATCCTAGAACCCTAAACCCTATAGTACCCTTATGGATCCTTAAAGGGAGCCCTTTCAGGAACCCTCTAAACCCGAGGCCCTTTAGGCGATAAACCCATACCCTAGTTTTGCTAGGTGGTATTAGGGAGACCCTTCTTAACGCTGGTTCTGGCTCTCTTAAACGGGACCTTATTGAGAGGGGCTATATCCCCAAGGGGCCCCCTAATCCTAACTCCCCAGTTTCCCTAAATCCTAGCACCCTAAACCCTACTATGGAAACCCTAAACCCGAAACCCTAAAACCTAAAACCCCCAAATCCCTAAAGCCCAAAACCCTACAGTACCCTTATCCCCCCCATACCCTACAGTAGAAGCCAGAAAGTTGGAATATCATTATCGTAACCCCTTTAAGGTAAATTATAGGGGATCCTACCATTAATCCATATTCCAACTTTCTGGAGTTCCCTTTAGCTTGTAACCCTAAACCCTAAAACCTAAACCCCATACCCTAAACCCTAAACCCCATACCCTAAACCCTAAACCCTAAACCCCATACCCTAAACCCTAAACCCCATACCCTAAACCCTAATATAGTTGGTGCCGGAGCCCCATGGGCCGCAGGAGCTCCTTGGGAGCCTCCGCAAGCGGCAGATGGCGCCGGACGCAGGGCTCTCAGAAGCATTCCTTTAAAGGACCGTAGGATGTAGGTTAGGATTCTTTTACGGGCTCCTTTAAAGGACCGGTCAAAGTTTTTAGGATGTAGGTTAGGATTCTTTTACGGGCTCCTTTAAAGGACCGGTCAAAGTTTTTAGGATGTCGGTTAGGATTCTTTTACGGATTCCTTTAAAGGAGGTGTTAAAGTTTAGGGTATAGTTTAGGATTCTTTTAAGGGTTCCTTTAAAGGAACTGTTAAGTTAAAATTTAGGATTCTTTTTAAGGGTTCCGTTAAAGGAACGATCAGGATCGTTTCAAAGTTTAGGATTAACTATACGGGATATCTCGGGAACTATTACTATAAGGATCGTTTTACAGTTGAGGATAGTTTAGGGTTCCATTAAGGGTTCCTGTAAAGGGTTCCTTTAAAGGGTTCTATAAGGAGTGTTTCGCAGGATCTGCAATGGTTCTAAAAGGGTGTTTTAAGGGTCTTTGGGGGTTCTGCAGTACTGCGCAGGAACGACTTGTGCTCCTAGCCAATCAGCTATTGTCATGCACCCGGCTTCTTGCCAGCACGTTTGGCCCCTGCTCCTGTTCACGCACAGTAGCACAGTAGCACAGAGGCTGAGACTGCAGAAGCTTCACCTCTACGAGCCCGACCGTCTGGGCAAGGTAGGCATGTCAACGAGCTTGCATACATCATTTTAGGAGGACCTTTCTCGAAACCGTAGAAATACCCTTAAGCACCGTAAAGCCCCATAGCACCCTGGCCCTGTCATGCGGCAACGGGCTTTCGGGGCTTACACGATCCCTGCGACCTTCAGAAGCCTGAAACCCGAACAACCCTGAAACACCTCTAGACTCTATAGATCCGTCAGGCAAGCCTGATAGATCCCATACCCGGAACCCGCAGACCTCTTGTAGGAGCCCTTTGTAGATCCACTGAAAAGCCGGCTTAACACCCTTTCAAAGCAAGGTCTATTCGTATAATGCCCTGCTGAATGCCTACGAGCGCTCGAGGCGTTCTCTTGATGGGTTCTCGTTGTTTTAGGAAGCTTTGGGTTCTGCCTATAGTCTCCATTGTAGTTCCTTCTTGGTTAACCAAATTCAAAGTCCAGGATCCGAACCATAAAACTCAAAACGCTTATTACCCGAGAAAAGGAACTACAATGGAGACTACAGGCAGTTGGGTACGATTTCGGGGTTCAGGGTGCGGACTACTTGAGGGCTTTTGCGGCCAAAGACCAAACCACGCAAGGCGTTTCTTTTGGCTTTTTGGTAGAACGGCATACATTAGGATTCCGAGTGAGCGTGCATACGTCTCCTTAGGATCATTGCGAGTGTATTAGTTGGGTAATTTTTGTTGGGGAAGGCGAGTAATTAATGCAGGAGCCTACTTTGTATGCGCTTCTGTCAATCATGTGCATATGCATATGAGCATTGCATTTTGCATTCTACATGACATCGCAGTACAGTGCATTACGTTGCATCGCATACATACTGGATGCATCTGCCGCACAACTCCTGCACACCTTCTCACGGTCTTACATTCAACTTTCGGTTCTAAGTTGCTGAAGCCGAACTGGAACTTCAAACCCGTTTCTATCCCCTAGCTCTTAGAGCCTTGCTGGTTTTTGAGGGGGAGTGAGAAGAAGACTGTCAAGCGAAAAAACAAAACAGAAGCATCCTGGACTCCTGGGCCTTACCACCAGAATCCTCATAACTTCATAACCCTGGAATCCTTGTTCGAAGCTGGATAACAAACGCGCAGCGACGCAGAGATCTTAAAACTTCTTTGTTAAGGGATAGTCAATCTTTTATCGTTTTCACTTTAAGCATGCATGGAGACCTTCAGCGTGCTCGGAAGCTAGGTCTTCTAGCTGCGTCGCAGCCGAGAAGCCAAGAAGCCTGGCCCCGAATACGACGACAAGCCAAGAAGCCTAAGGCTTAAGGCTTGGGGCTTGGGGGTTAGGGAGCAGTGCGCTTATCGACAAATTAGCTTCTTGGCTGGCTGATGGGCTTGTCGGCTGCCGCACGGCTTGACACCAAACAAGCAGGCACACCAGGAATATTCGATAAGTCAAAGCCCGACGAAAAATACAACAAATTGTGGTACTGAAGCAAGATATACTGTAGTACATAGTATTACGAAAAAGAGATCATGTCTGGATTCGGCCCGAAGCCCCCAATCCCGAAGCCCGAAATCCTTGGAGCCTAAATCTGTAAGCCCAAAACCCCTACATCCCTGCCTAGGCTTGTGTATTAAACTATTAAACCTTCAAACGGTGGATTGATCGACCGCGAGAGGCTTTGGCAGGAGGCTTTGGTGACGCTGAAGGACGCCGGTTTCCGTTTCAGGTTTCTCCCCTCCTGGTATACCCTAAACCCTAAACTCTAAACATCGGGCTCCAAGAGTACACGAGTAGCAGCTACTTTGGGGTATGGCTACCTTTTTGGAGCCCCATGGCTCATAGGATTCCCGTAAGGGTGCTACAGAATCCCGCCCGAGGCAAAGGTTTCAGCGCTTGCGCAAGGAAAACGGGGCTTTGGCTTATAAATCCTGGTAAGTTACCTAATTATTCAGACTCCTTTCTGGCTTTAAGGTTCGGGTCGTCGTGTTTTCTTTTGGTCTTGGGGTGTAGAAGCCATAAGGTTGGAACATCATTATCCTCATGCCCGTAATCATGGCGAATCCTAGCACTAATCATCCTAAATCCATGTTCCAACTTTCTGGGGTTCACTGTAGGGTGGAGTTTGATTTCAGGGTTTGGGGTGACGGAAACCTTGAGTCGAACGCAATGCGTTCTAAACTGAAAAGACGGTCCAAGACTCTTGAGCGAAGCCCCTCGCCGTTGCCTTGGGGTTTGATTACTTTAAACTACCATAGCCGACTTTTTGTTGTTCGTTTTATTATTAGCCACAATGTGGAATTTATAGAGACCCTCCAACTGTAGCTTCGGGCAGGTGAAGGTAGACTTCGGGGCTTGGCCTAGCAGTTGTTGCACAGGCTGAGGGATTTCAAGGGTGGGTGTGGACCCCGGGGGCGGCACTAAGGGATCGGTTCCCGACGAGCACCCCCCACCCTCCCCGGCCCCCTGCTAGGGCGACAGTGCCGACGCTCGCTGGAGGGCTCAAACACATGACTGACATTGTATGCCTTCCATGGACCATGACATTGTGTTGGTTGCCGGCTCCATGCTGCTGGTTGAGCTGATAGCACTCTGGGCGGCGGGCATTGTTAATCTCCCCTTTTCTTACTGTCTGATATTTTGTTCCGTACATGTCACCGAGGCTGTCTAGACGCAGGACTGGTTGCTCACGTTGCGTCCAAGATATTCATGCGAGCTTGTCGTACCGCTCGTTTGCACATTTGGGGCGACATGTGTGGTGGAGAGTTCGTATGGGATTCAGCCACATCCGCAGCTAGCACAGCAACCTCGTTTGGACATGCTGGGCAAGTATAGTAGCCGGGCAGGTATAGTATAGTAGCCGTTCATCTCGGCAGCAGCCTTGTTTACTTAAGAACTTTCTGGTATTTGGGTGGTGGCGTGTTCGCCCTCGGTGCTGGAACTCGGTTCCCTCGGCACATGGCGCGCGCCCTTGGGTCGCCCTCGTGCGTGCCCTCGGTGCTGGAGCTTCGCTCCCTCGGCACTGGCCGCACTGCTGCGCCCCCGTTACCTTCGTGACTGTTGCGACCGGATGGATTCCTACTATGCCTGCTGGTATTCCACTGGATCGGGTACTCCTACAGCTACTAGTGGTTCCAACCCAACTCATTCATCATTCATGGCCCCTCACTCCATTCCTCTCACTTCGTTACAGGCAGCGTGGCGGGTTTTCCATTCCTTGCTCTCCGCAGGTGCATGGTACCGCACTCTGGGACGGCGATCAATGCACCTTACCCGCTAACTGACTGATCTGCTGAGCCAATCGTGTCGTGGGGACCGTCTAGCCACAGTATTGTTTGCCAAATCGGTACGTACAATGGGGCGCCGTGCATGGCGTTGAGTCGAGGGGGTGTACTGTCATACTTACCCCATGCTTTGCAAACTTTACGGGCAAGTTGGACACCATGTACAGGGTCAGTGTGAGGGCGTCCGGGGCATATGGTGGCACTCTACGCTTACCGCATGCATGTACAGCTCGCTTGTGTTGTGATTCCTCCAAGTTTTTTCTTGCAAGACGGCAACAGTAAAGCTTAACAGTATTTGGCAGTTGTGACTTGTCTGCATTAGCTAATTTTTCCCCCACTTGAACTCTGTGACGGAGGGGGGCTATGACGTTTTCGGAGCCCCCCCGAGATGTTGAGAGGGACGTGGGAGGTAGGCTGCGCCGTATGCGCTAGTCGTCACTCACTCACTCACTCAATCGGGGCTTGGCCTTCAGGGTCATTGCTTAGAAAGGGGTTCAACGGTTTAGGGTTCAGGGCAGAAAGTTTTCTTCTGGATGATTTCGGGGCAGCATCCCACCGAGCCTTGCTCTGCCTGCGGTTGTGCAGTTGCTGTCGCAGGATATCTGCGACAGTTCTTTCTTTGCAGTGGCATCGACGGCACAGCAGTAACCCCGACATTGAAGCCACAATCAGAGCACTGGTTAACGTACAATAAGGCTCCCTGTAGAAACCCCTTTAAGGCCTAAGATGGCCTAAGTATATACGGGTTAGGTACTTGAAGCCGTAGGGGTACTTACACCTGCTTCATAAACCTTGTCCCATGAAAACAGAGGAGATGGAGCGGCTCCTTGTGGTGCCAGGGCCTTACCGACTGAGAAGCGTAGCATAGGAGCTCCAAGTCCAAACGTCCAAAGTTACTGTAGGGGGGCCCAAACAATTACCAATACTATTTGGGGTCCTTATTATAAATGTAGTATCATGGGCCCCACATCCCTATTCTAATTCTTGAGGCCCCTATATATTACCCGGTAATCCCAAGGACCCTAAGGGAAACACGAAATCGCCGTACTTCCAAGCAGCATGAGTAGTTGTCCAAATGAGGCTCTCTTTCTAGGTCACACGGAATGCAGGGCACCCTAGAGAAAGGACACCCAAAGGGGCCCCAAGTTAGAGAACTACCCATAAAAGGACCGCAGGCATTTGCAGTGTCTATGCGAAACGAATGCGACACCGGAGGCCGGACGTGATCTCCTTCGCCTCGGCGATGGATCTTGCCTCAGCTGGTTTGGGGGTCCTGTTTTAAGTTTTAGGGTTTAGGAAAGTTTAGAGTTTAGGGGTCCTGAGTCCTGGCTATTAGGACCCAAATTTGGGGCTCCTGCTTCTTGTAATCGTGGCGCCTTCTCGTGAATTGCTTTGGGTGCTCCTAAACGTGATGCCGACTTCGAGAATGACTTAGACGCCCAGCCATCGACCCGGTAGCCTAATCCCCCCTGTCCTGGAACCCACACTAAACCATAACCTGCATCTTTGGTGCAGCTTCTACGAGGATCTAGGTCATGGCACTTGTAACCCTAAAGCCCGAAACACCAAAACCGCCCTAAGCCTGAGACCCTCGAGGCCGAATCCGTGTGCCCAGACCCTATAACCCTTAAACCATTAACCGCAGATTCCCTCAGCCCTCTCGACCGTTCAACCCCAACTCCAAATCTTGGCAGCATGGGTCTGACTACAACGAGTACTATAGCGCACCATTTCCTTATTGTCCCTACATCGTTCTAAACGAATCAGGTCTTGCGGGCATATTATAATCTTCATTCCCTTAGCTGTGTAAAATATGTTTTGGTTACTATAGTCTTTATCCTACGACCCGATTCAACTTGGACTGGATGGCCTTTATGTCCCTATGTAGAGTGGGTTCGGGTTTCCTCCTTGAGTCAGAACGCTTCTTACGGGGTAATGCAGATGTGGGCAGGGGCCTTAACTCCCTTACTCAGAACCGAATGAGGGTTTAACTTGACAACGCCCATTTCAGGAAGTGCTATGCCCCTAAGCCCCAAACCCTCCGAAGCTTTCTCATGATTGAGGCGGAAGGGGCGATTGAGGATTAACAGGTCTTGCGGATGCCGCAGGGTTATGGTTGCAGGTCGATTGCAGAGCCATCCGTACTGTTTCTACAGGTCTCAATAGGGCGGTTATGTAGGAGTTTAGTTAAGGTTGATGGTTTACCCTGGAGACTCCAAGTAGGGCTTCAACGCTAACATATGGTACCTTGCTTTGTTGCTTTTAAAGTATCCTGCTGAATGCTTGCCGTTTTAAACTCACTCCCTAAGCCCCCTGCACTCCCTACACAAACCTAACACCCTAAGTTCCCTAACCTTAAAACTCCAAACTCCGTAAGCCCTAATTGAACCCTGAACTCCCGAAGCCAGAAAGCCTAAACTCCCCAATTTTAGATTATACATAAACCTTAAGCCCTAAATGCCAAACCTGTGAATCTATGCACACAGAGATTGGATACTGCCCCCACTCCGTATCCAGCAGTTATGTAGCCCTTCACATGACTCCCAATACAGACTGTTGGACGGGGGGCAGTACCCGACTTGTACAGCGGAGAAAACGAAACCTATAACCCCACTTAACCCCAAGCCCGGAGCTTCCTTTACCCTAAAGTCCCTATATCCTCCAAACCCTAAACCCTAAACTCCCTAAACCCCGTAATCCTTAAACTCCCTAAATTAATAAACCCACTAAACTCCCTAAAGTCCCGAAACCCTAAACTCCCTCAACCTAACCCCAAAACTTGTTCCGCCTAGTCGCTGTATACACACCTGAGACCCCAAACCCTAAACCTTAAACCCCAAACCCTAAACCCCCTGGCCCTAAACTCCCTAAACGGCAAATCCCCCCATACCCCATAAGCTCCCTAAATCTTCAACCCCAAGCTCCTTAAGTCTTAAACTCCCTAACTCAACCATAAACCCCGTAAGCCCTATAGCTGCAACTTCTTAAGCTTTAAACTCCTTAAACCTTTTTTGTTTAGAGCCCCAAAAGCCTATTCCAATGATTCAGGACCCTATATATTACAAGCCTAGAGCTACTTGCAAGGCCGCCTGCGAGCTCGCTGCCCGCTGGGATCTGGCCATGGCCTCAGCGGTAGGAAAGTCGCCTTAAGGCTTTGGGTCGTCTGTAGGGTCTTGTAGGGTTTTACAAGGTCTTGTGCGGGTTTATCAGTTTTGGGGGGCCTTTACGGCTCAGGCCTTCTGGAGGATTTTCAAGGGTTTTATAGGCTTTTGGGTCTTTTGGAGGGTTTTGGAGGGGCTTTATGGGTTGTTAAAGCCTTTGGGGTTTTGCAGGTTTAGGGTTTCATTGGGGTTTAGGGCAAATTAAAGTAGGTTGGCCTGAAGGTTCTGGAACTTTTCGTAGGGTTCGTGATATGGGGCTCAACACTTGCAATACCTGCTGGCGGACAGCTTGTTTTCAATCCCACTATGGAGTTGTGTTTGAGTGAATGCTGCAGGGGATCAGTGAGCAGAGACTCGGGTGTAAGTCTGGTGGGTGGGGGGTCTTTCATGAGTCTCCTCAAACCAAGTTCAGCCCCAAACCCTAACCACTATATATTGCCAACACACCTGATACAGCTCAAGACTAGGTCACCCTACGCCCCAGACCTTCAAGGACGCTGAACCCTAAATGGACTGTGTCAGTTTTCGGGGTTTGTATACGGAGCTTTGGATCCTTGTGGCCTTGGAATTTGTAGCGCTTTTCTACACGTTTTTGCTTGGATTGTGGGTGTTATTGCTTGTGGCTTTAGGGTATGGGGGCTAATCCCAACAGACATCTAGCTTTTCCGTGTAATGGTTTTTCGTCTCGCTTGGAGCTCCATGGCTTGCAAGTCAGGCCATAGCCCTCTTGGACGAAGCTCGTGCGAGCCTGAGGAGCGATTGGCTTGGTGGTCTGGCGTATTGCGGCTGTTATGGTCTCGGGTTTAAGGTTCGTCGGATGGTGTGAAGGGCGTTTTGGAACACGATTTCGAACGGGTTTATGCTCAGCCAGGGAATCCGCCAGAGTTTGAGTGACCAAAGACCCTCGAACTCTGACACTTAAGCCCCACACCCCGAAAAGTTGAGGCCACACTCCAAACCTCATAAGCCCGAATCCCTTTAGCCCTAAACGAGTTGCATGAAAGTATCCGCCGGCAAGAGGAAAGGGCAGAGAGAAGACCGGTGCAGGCGCCCCGGAAACTAAGCCTTTAACCTACGTATCATAATTAGAGTTCTTACCCTAAGGCTCCATGTACCCATATAGTAGATACTTAGGCCTTAAAGTACCCATATAGGGGCCACTTTAAGGCCTAAGTATCTACTATATGGCTACATGGAGCCTTTGGGTTGCGGAACCTCGAGCCTCACAGGCACTCGCCAGCTGCAGCTGACGCTTGTGGCTTGCTCTTTGCCGGCATTTTCCTGGCGAACTTGAGACGAGATCGGATTCCATCCGGTTGGTACAGAGCTTACGTAGGGTTTGGGGTTTAGGGGTCTCATAGGGTTGCTTAGGGTTTCATTGCATTTATCGGGTTTGTACAGGGTTAATGTGACAATGCAGGGAGTTTATTCTGGGCGTTTAGATGGTTTGTTGAAGATTACTTCGGTGTCTACTAGACGGCTGAGATGAAGAGAGGCACTTTGGTGCTTTTGCAAAATACCTTAACCCTATAAAGCCTAGGCCTTAACTTTAGTAAAGTCCTCCGTCAGAATCCTGGGGAAGGTGTGCTTGGATTATTTTCGTGGGGATACTTGGTAGCTGGGTTCTAGAACATGAGCGAAATTTCTCTTTAAGGCACCATAACGGGGGTCTATAGCAAATACTGGGTGTCCCTCTTGTGGTGTACGTAACTTAAGTTTACTTTCCTTCACAAGCACCCTGCTGATCAAAGCCTGACTTCAGATTCTGAGCGTTAGGGTCCCTTGTTGGATCCCCGAAAGTCTGTCTCAGTCTTGTATTACTTGTATCAATGGTACTTCAAAGCGTCAGAAACGCATTCGTGGTCGGGGCTTTCCCAGGACCCTTAATTATGCACCGTTCAGCCCCGTGCAGAGATGCAATAAGGCAACTATAAAGACCCCACAACACCCCCGAGAAAGATCCTATGAATCCCTTTGCAAAGAAACCCTTTCAAAACCCATCTGGACCCCTCAAAAAAATTAAAAAGAGCCCTTCTTGAAGCCTCATCGAAGTCCAAGCACCGTCTGCCACAGTTGAAGCCTTCCGACACCCAGAACCCTGAACCCTCAGCCCTCTCTGCTTTTCTAGAGTTCTGGGCAGGCAGCACCGCCGTCAGTGCCTGCAGTCAAGGACCGGTCCCACACTCAACCCGACCCCGGTCTTCGAGTGGGCTTCGGGCTTAAAGTTTAAAGTTTAGGGTTAGCCGGGCGGTTTGGGGTTTAGGGTTGTTATCCGGTACGATTTGTGGTTTTGGGTTTGGGGATTCGGGTGTAAGGTTCACTTCCTTGGGCAGTCTCAAGCGTTTTGCTTGTTAGGTTTTTCCTAGGAGTTTGAAGGTTTCATAGGGTTTCCCATCATTGTCGATTGGTTTGTTGTTCTGTGGGGCTTCGGTGGTTTAGGGCTTCACTGCTCCAGGGCCGACTTTTCCTACTGACATGCTGTTTTACCCCTGAACGCCCGCACGCTTAAATGCTTAATTCTATTGGAGCCCAGATTTCGCACAAGATTATCTCGCTCCTGAAGCTAGAATAGACGGAGGATCAGTATCAACATCTATAGACCTTGCCTGACCTTGCTTCAGCTCCAGGCGATTGAGAGCTCACCAGAGCAATGCAACCCTAGTACGAACAAGCTGATGGTGGCTATGCCCTCTGCAACGGATTGACATGACAGCAATCTGAAGCTATCAATTTCGAATAAGCTAGCAGATGGTTGACAAGACAAGCCCTCATAATGGGCCTTACTGCCCCCCCTCCTAGAGCCGCCATGCTTGAAAACCATACAGCATTGAATTTGAATTTTGAATGCTCGACAGGTTGAGGGTTTAATCATTTCACCCGAGTCCTTAAAAGCCCTTATCCCTGCCCCTTGAGACCTCAGCCCCAAACCATAAAGCCCCAAAGCCTGCGCAGGCCGCAAATGGAATTGGGCTCTTTGGCTGTTGAGGGCTGGGCGCTTGGCATCTGGAAGCTTCGCTCACCACCCGGCGTCTCCCTGCCGCGGAATCCTAGGGATTTAGACTTGTAGGCATAGGGTGTTGGGTAACAAGCCGAGAACCTCAAGCCCTAAACCCAAGCCTTCTGACCAGGCAAGTTAACACTGCGTCATCCTAAATCCCGAACCTCCCAAAGCCCCACAGCCCTAATTGAAGTCGGGCCCCCTGCCGAGAACCCCCAAGTCCAGTGCAGTGTTGTCGCAAGCATCCTCGGCTCGGCTTACGCTAGGTTCATCCGAACATGTGGGAGTTTTCGAGACTTAGGCGTGCCTTATTTTGGGGTCCCTATAATAAGGATCCTACTATTATTTAAGGTACTATATTCGGGTCCCCTATTTTCGGAAACTCCCATGTATCTATGGCATGAAAGCCTCAAGTCGTATATGAGGCGGCCTCAACCCCTAAATTCCAAGTTAAGCCAAGCCTTGTACGACCCGTATGAGCGCCTATGAATCTCGAAACTGTGATCTCTACGCCCGGGCTCGGTGTAGCCACAATGCTTCTTGCACAGTGATCTTAGCACCTCCCTTCACTGAGGTTCATTTACGGTTAGGGTTAAGGTTAAATTCAAACGAATGGTTTCAGTTGTGTTTCGTCGGAGAAGCAAGGGGCTTTGAGCAACTATAGCCCGGCTGACGAACGGTAGATCTATCTCCCCATCATCGATCTATCTATCTAATCGATCTACCTAGTCTGTCGATCTATTTATAGATGAGTCTGTCTGTCTATCTTTCGTTTTACCTAAGTCTATCTATCGGTCTATCTATACAGTTATACATAGATAGGTATAACATATATGCACACAGCTATCTAGCTATCCACCTCTCTAGGACCGGCATACTTAGGAGTGCTATTGCTAGTATGAGGTGATGAGGTGCCTAGGGCCTAGATGCGTCTATATTCATAGCACATGCCGAATTCTTGGCTGTGAAGATCCTACTGAACCCTTCTACGATCCGAAAGCCAGCCCTACATATTCCACCCAAGATATCTAGGACCCGAAGCCCTAGAGACCTCCTCAAACCTGTGCCTCCCAGGCAGCCCAGGCTTTTTCGCTGGATGCCACATGGTGTCAACTTGTGTTCACTGAAGCTACGGCTTTTTAGTTAATTGTTTGGGGCTGTCATGGTTCAGGGTTCAGATTTTTTCTAGGGTTTCGGGACAATTTTTTAAGCGATTCTAGGGCTTGGAGAAGGGGCTAGGGGACTGGACTTTAGATCTTAGATTTGAGTTTCGGGTTTGGGATTTGGGGCCTGAGGGTCTTGGACCCTGAGCCTTAAATCCGAAGGCGGTAGCGATGGGCACCTTGTAGAGCAATCGCGTTTTGACATAGTCAAGAACCAGAGCTTCTAATTTTGAGTGTGGGGTCTTTAGGATTTAGGATTCTTATCCTTAAACTCAATCCTAAATCCTAAGCCCGAAGTGGTGTTCAGGGCTTAGGGCAGTACGGTTCTTTACTCTGTGACCTTCGGCCCGGATCCTTCTGATTCCCAGGCCCCAAAGCACTGGCCAGCGCCATCTTCAAGTTCTTTCTTCTGGGGTTTAGAGTTTAGGGTTTAGGGTTTAGAGTTTAGGGCTTAGGGTTTAGGGTTTAGGGGGGTGTAGGGCTCTGTATGATCATCCTCGCCAGGATCGTCGGCATCATGCAGTCATAGCCGTCGCCGTCACTATCGCTGTCTTCCACGGGAAGAAGTCCTCGACTCTCAAGCTCCCCGCATCCCTTCCTGCCCCACCCTTATTATTCTTATCTGCATCCTCCCTATCATCGTTGTCGTGCTCATCGTCCTTCCCACGGATCCTTTAGCTGTAAGATGGTGCTCTATGTACACAAGAACTATCAGAGTCTATTATGTGCCAGTCCGCAGGCCGCATGTTAGGTGCTTTTGTGTTCTGCCTTGATTCTTTCCGTCAAAAGATTGCGAGTTTGCTTGGCTCTCGAAGTGTCTTGGCTTCAGGCTTGCTTTGCTGCCCAAAGGTATGGCGCAGAGTTCGTTCAGTTCCGTTAGCCAAGCCATGCGATTCATCATCGCGGTCTTTGCGGCGGCTTGCCTGGCCGATGGTTTTAATGCCGGCTGCGTCGGCGACGAGTGTTCCGCCAAGGAAACGGGCTTGGAATCCCTTGTTCCTGAACCTTACACATATCAACATGCCCTAAGACTTACCGGGATCATCTGTCAAGGCTTTTTGAGCCCAAAGACAGACAGGTCAAGGCTTTCGGGCTATGTTGAGCTTAAGGCTTGGGGGCTTTGAGGGACCGACCCAGTCAAGGTCTCGGATTGGAAATTCAGAAGCCTGGACATTTGGAGCCTGTTGGGAGGCCAAAACGGAGGGACTCCAATAGAGACCTCAATTGACACGTTCCTTCTTACTGCAATCAGAATAATGTACGATCTTCTGCAAGTTCAGCGAGGTCTTTCGGGGCCCAAAACCCCAAACTCCATAACTCATTAGCACTGAACCGTTCATGGAGGATTGATGGCTCTTTGTTTGGTTATGTGAACCATTGAAAGCCCCCCACAATGACCACCTGGAGGAGGAGCAACCCTTGACTCTAAACCTTGTAGGTGCCTTAGGGCCATCCCGGTCGGTTTGCGTATAGACGTGCTCAGAAACCGTCTGTTGGTTCTAGCCACTGAATAAGCAACAAACCCTGAAACACCCAAAGCTTAAGCTCCAAACCGCCAGCTCGCATAACCCGAGCGACATGCGAACAATAACACGGCTACCAGGACGACTCCGTTCTTGTGCAAAAGAGACGAGCCCCGGAGACGGTGACCACAGAGAAAGGCGGACATGCCCCTAGACCCTGCAGACCCTAAATCCCATCGCAAGCCCCTGACGGCCGAGGTTTGGGAGGTTCGTTTTTGATCACAGTCTTGGGCCGCTGTCTGCCTAAGGAACTCTCTGTCGCTTGAACACGTCTTTGCGTTTTCGGGTGACGAGTCTGTTAGCAGGGTTTGGTCGGGGTTTCCGGAAGCCCTAAGATGGGAGCACAGAGCCGACATCCTCAGGTCGCTCGCGCGTTTTGCTCTGATTCGCATGGACGTCTTGAGAGCAGGGGCACCTCGATCCTAGTAGTTAGTTGGGTTTGTATTTGGGCCCTTCATGTTTTGAAAGCTGCACAAAGACCCCTGTTTTTGTTGAGACACTGTCGCAAATCTCTTTTGTAAGCAATCAGGAAAAACCGCAAAGCTCTAACAATCCAGCAGCCCTATGTAAGCTTCAAGCCCCAAACCCAAACCTCGAATCCCCGCGTTCTCAATCCTGAATCTTAAACCACAGCCCCACAACCCCGAACTTGCAGCCTGAAGCCCCGACTAAACCTTCTAAAACATCCTAGCAGGCTACACTGTTAGACCCTGTGCTGTACAGTCTTGAAAGCACCCTAGACCGCCCAAACCCGAAACCCGCCGTCGCCGAAAACAGCCGGGGAGGCCTTGGCCTGGCTCTCGAGGGCGGAGGATTCTTGGCACATGCAACTCACACCGGGGTGGCTCGGCCCAGTCTCGGGTTCTTCAAGGTATGTAATATAGGGGCCTCAATAATTACTAATACTACTTTGGCGGTTCCTGATTGTAATTATAGCATAGTTGGCCCCAAAACCCTATTCTAATTATTAAGGCTCCTATATTAGGTTCGGTTCATGGCTTGAAGGCTTCGAGTCTTCGAGCTTCAGAATTTAGCCCTCTCCCGATGTGAGGTCTTGACTGCGCTGGTGAATCGCTGCAAAATGGGGACAAGATCTCGCAAGGGCTACATGGCGAGAAATGGTCTTACCCAGGAGGTCGCTTGGCACTCAAGAGTCTTGGGTGAAGGTTTTTATGCGTTGCTGCTGCCGCTGCTCCTGCTCCCGCTTCTGCCCCGCTCCTGCTCCTGCTCCTGCTCCTGCTCTTGCTCCTGCTCCTGCTCCTGCTCCTGCTACTGCTACTGCTCCTGCTACTGCTACTGCTACTGCTACTGCTACTGCTGCTGCTGCTGCTGCTGCTGCTGCTGCTGCTGCTCCTGCTCCTGCTCCTGCTCCTGCTACTGCTGCTACTGCTACTGCTACTGCTACTGCTACTGCTACTGCTACTGTTACTGCCACTGCTGCTCCTGCTCCTGCTCCTGCTCCTGCTGCTACTGCTCCTGCTCCTGTTGCTACTGCTACTGCTAATGCTACTGCTACTGCTACTGCTACTGCTACCACTACGAGTACGACTACGGCTACGACCACGACTGGTACTACCTACTACCTTCCATGACCAGCACCACCACCACCACCACCAGGATGACGACTACGCCTACTGGTCCCCAGCCCTTGCATGATTAGCCCTCGATATTAAAAGGGTGGCGAGCCCGTATTTGCAGAGTAGCCTTGGGTTCCTATTCTATATGATCACAACTCCTTCTTGGCATGATCCTCGTCGTCTTTGCCGACGTCCCTCAAAGCGTAGCGCCTGAAGCCCAAAACACCAAGCTCCCAATCCCGGTTCCCCATGCTCAGGGCGCGACCTCGAATGGTACCGACTGGAATAGCTTGACAGAGCTCATGTCGAACGTCAAAGCCACAGGGCTGCCAAGTCATTTGTGTTGGATGATATCGTTCTTTTTCCAGGCCTCATGGGCGGCCTTAGCGTCTGGGGCTCAGGACTGTCGTAGGGTGTAGTGTCACAGGAGATGGTGTGCGAGTCGTGGGACCAAAAATATCGGCCGCCATTGTTCAAGAAATCCCTCAACCAACCGAGGGTTTGGGGTTTAGTTTAGGGTTTGTTTGGAGGTCCTGTAGTCATACATTCTGCGAGTTGTGGTCCGTAGGTCGGGGGTTCTCAGCGGCCTACATTTGCACATGCACGATGTGAGTCTTAAGCCCTGTAAAACCATTAGGCGAATGGATGCGACAAGCAAATTAAGATCACGCCTAATATCCAAAGCTCTGAACCCCCATCCCAAACCCCAAACCATTTACACTAACCCTTATGTCGCGATAGCCGAAATCCCAATGTTCCCCACTAGCGGCACTCCAATTAGATGTTCAAGGACATGAGACAAACACCACAAAGCCAAGCACCCTCAAGCCTGTGTACTTACGAATCTTAGTATGAAAAATCCAACTGTCCCATGTCCTTACGTCCGAAACGAAAGCTGCGCCTGTAAACCCGAAACCACTTAACCTTCCCTAAACACCAAACCGTTGTCTCTGCACCCCTTAATCACCCGTTTCTTTAGACGCTGACTCCTAAGCCCCCTAAACCCTAAACCCTAAAACCCTAAAATCCTACATAAGCCGTGGAAAATTGAAATCGCTGAACAGATGCGGCTCAGAGGTTATCTCGTCGGTAAGTGGAGGCAGTTGGTGGATGGCCCAGCCGCCTGCCTCCGTGCTTGAGGGTTTGGAGATTGGGGTTTAGGGTTTAGGGTTTAGGTTTGCTTGATTCAGTCAATCAATATAATAGGAGTTATGCCTTAGGTTGTGGGGTTTGGTTTAGGGCTTATCAGTTCTTGGGTTCAGGCTTGGAGGATTCTGCGGTCGACGCTTTAGGGTTGGTTCTGGTGTCTATCAGTCCAAGGGTCGAAGGTGGGGCTCGCGAGGTTCAGGGCCCGTTAAAGGCTTCAAGCAAATGCTGAGAGCATCAATGTTCAAATTAATCCAATCTCGTTGCAGTCGTGTTTCAGGAGTGCCTGGGCATACCTGGAGAAGCCTTTCCCTGAACCCTTGGCCACCGAAGTCCCTGGACATTTCGAAGCCCTGAATCTCAAGCCACCTTAAACGTACATCTCAAAGCCCTGACTCGTTAAACGCCGAGGAGAAAGCCCTACGCTGCTAGCCTTCAGGAACACCAACTGCTGTTGGCTCCAAGCCTTACAGTTGATTTCCTTTGAAATAGCAGCGGATCTCTAGCTTCATTTTCGGCTTGATATCGGCGCGCTCTTCAACTTGAGCTGTACGGTAAGTGGTGGGCATGAGGCTGGGCTACTCCGCGCAGTTTCTCAATCTGATCGAGACTATGGCAGAATCTCCAGAAAGGGCCGGAGAACTGTACAAGGCTTCTCGGTTGCTAAACGGGTTTCGCAGTACACAAACTGATTACATGGAACATGGTCTATGTACAATGAGTGTATGAAGTAGAGCACCATGGGAGGATTGGTGAGTTGGTATTTCGGGCGCAGGTTCTTATGGGCACGCGATGAACAGACTGACCCTATTGCACCTGGGATCTTGACAAGGCTTCAGCGTTTGGGGTTTCGGATATGCGATTCGGGCTGGAAGTTGGTGGTCTGGAAGTCGAGGTTTAGGCTGGCTTGAGTTTAAGTGTAGGGTGTGGGGTTTGAGGTCTACGAGGGCTTTCGGATACAAAGCACCGCAAAAGCCTCCAAAGCCTGAGAACCCGTACAAGAACCGCAGTAATCATTGGGCACTTTGGTCCCTCACCCTACGGCGGCCCAAGTACTGAATAAATAGAAATGTACTCTCAGCTGCTAGTCTAAACGCAACTGATTAACTAACCGTTGGACCCGGCCCTTACGTGGAGGGTCGTGGGACTTGGTAAGTAAATATTTTTCAGAGTTATAAGTCCCACAACCCCAATCAGGAGCCCCTTAGGGTGCAGCGACAGCGCCGGTTAACACACAGTTAATTTTTCGTAGGGTGGGGGCTCCATTTCTTATGTTTGAAGCGCACTTTTTTCGTAAACAAAAAACCATTTCGGAGGGTATCCTGGGTTTCTTAACTCCAATTTTGTAATTAATTTGCAACGGCAGCAAATAAGAAACTACTACAAGAAATGGAGCACAGCAAGATTCGAGCCCGCTGCACATACCATTCCAGCTCATGTGCTTATCCACTCGAGCATGGCATCCATCAGACTCCTTAAATGCCATCATATCAATCCATTTGTGACCCAGCCTATAATCAGCCCTTGCCAGAACCCCTCAAAACAAGAAATAGAGCCCCTCCATTTCTCAAATTTAATAAATCGAGCCCCTCAATTTCTTATTTTTGTGGTTTTCGTTCCTATATGGCAAAGCTAAAATAAAAACCCATACTAAGCCTTTACAATGCCTCCAAAGCCCTCCAAAGCTGCTATGAAGGCCTTACTAAGCCCTGATTAGGCAAGCCCAGAACCCACTAATCGAGCCCCTCAATTTCTTATTTTACGTATTCGAGCCCCGCAATCTCTTAAATTTAAGAAATCGAGCCCCTCAATTTCTTATTTTGGTGGTTTTCGTTCCTATATGGCAAGCTAAAATAAAAACCCATATTGAGCCCTTACAAAGCCTCCAAAGCCCTCCAAAGCTGTTTTCAAGGCCTGATTAAGCCCTTATTTAGCAAGCCCAGAACCCACCAAAATAAGAAATCGAGCCCCTCAATGTCTTATTTTGGTGGTTTTCGTTCCCATATGGCAAAGCTAAAATACAACCCATTATTAAGCGCTTACAAAGCCTCCAAAGCCCTCCAAAGCTGTTATTAAGGCCTTATTAAGTCTGAAAAGGCAAGCCCAGAACCCACTAAAGTAAGAAATCGAGCCCCTCAACTGATTAAACTTAAGAAATCGAGTCCCTCAATTTATTATTTTGGCTTAAAGAGTGCCTAAATAAGGCTTTGCCATTTTGGAACGAAAACCGCCAGAAATAAGAAATCGAGGGGCTCGATTTCTTAAATTTAAGAAACTGAGGGGCAAGATTTTTTACGTGGAGGGGGGGGGGGTCCTGGTAAGGGCTGATTACAAGCTGGGTAAGACATGGATCCATATGATGGCGTTCAGGGAGTTTGAAGGATGCCATGCCCGAGTGGACAAGCACATGAGCTGGAGTGGATAGTTCGAGTGCTCGAATCCCCCTGTGCTCATTTTTTGGTTCCCTTTGTACGGGCTTGGTGGAATACGAAATCTGCTTCCTGAGGTTCTTGTTTTTTTTCGCGCGAACAAACCCAGCGAAGCCAAAATGAGAAAGAGTAAAAATGAGAGTTTGGCACGCCGAGTCCAGGGTACCCTGGATTTCTTTTTTTGAATGTGCGCCATTTTACATGGGTGGTTGTCAAAATTAGGGTCCCTTTTTGTGTACCCTAAATAATAGGTGCCGTACTACAATAGGGACCCAAAAAGGGACGATACTTTTGACAACCACCCATATGTACATTTTCTATCACACGGCTGTTTGTGGGGCTCAACTTCTTAATCCAACGATTTCTTAAGCAGTGTTGTTGCTGTATTCAAAACTCAGCTAAGTCCCACTGAACCCTACACCCTTAAAGGAACCCTATATAGGGCCTACTTACTAATTCCACCCGAACCCCCCCAAGCAGGGTTAGGGCAAATCCCAAGCCGTCAGAAGCGCTACATCGACCCATTGCTCGCCGTAATCCGTCTTAATCCAGAAGGCGCGCGTGCGTGAAAGGTGCAAGTTCTAAGTTCTGAGTGTTGGCAGGTTGTTGTTCGTTTGTGGTAAGCTGCTTTAGCGATGAGCCTATGTTGGGGTGTCCGGTCCTTGCGGGGGACAGCGGCAACAAGGACCCTGCACCGCATAATGCATGACCCTTGACCAAACACCCTATTAGCCCAGAGCGCCAAACCCTGAACCTCAGACCACGAACCTTAAACCCTGAAGACTAGCCTGCAGCGCAGAGATAGGCGATGAAGAGTTCGATCTCGACGCAGTCCTCCGAAGCGAGACACCCCTTCGAGAGACTGGTCTGCCTGTACATTGGAGAACAGGAGGTCGTGTGTAGGGCTGGAGAGTTTTGCGCTTTAGGGGTTCGATCTAGAGATTTACCACAACTGCTCTAAAGTCGCACGTCTTCAGGCTCTTGGCCCAATCAAAAACATGCTTGTTAGCTTGTTACCTGTTTTCGACCACCGATAACATCATGAGAATGGAAACACCGATCCTCTCAAGTAGGTAATCTTATACTCGTAGTTCTGATGGTATTATTCAATGACCAGTTGTGCAGTGGAAGCTTTGGGCTTGAAAAGGGCTTGTACGGGAACCTTTGTCGGTACCGCAAACCCTCAGCCCTGAGCCCTATAACTGTAACGTGACATTGATTCTAGATTGTGATTTTCTCTGCAGAAACCAAGGAAGATTCGAATTCGTCGGAGGTGCCTGCGAACGAGCAACTGGGATAGGAAGCTCTGGGCGCAGTGTTTTATGTAGGCCTTTGTTCCTAGGTCAGGGTTGTATGGGCTTACTGCACCACACAAACCCTGTAAGGGTTTCACTCGCAAACCATGGCTTTAGAATGTGGTTGGCTAGTTGTTTAAGCTTGAGCTGTGGGTTCGCCTTGCACCGCACATGCTGAAGTCGAAACGTTTCTTCAGTCCGCAAGCTTCGATGTTCACCTAGAGCCCAACCGAAAATCCAGCTTACCAACCCCGTTGAAATCAGCTTTCGACCTATGCAGAGAAATCGTGCTTAACAGTAACCTATAGTTATCGTCGTCATTGGCTCCGGCTTCTATTCCTACATCCGCAATCCGACTTGAAAGCCCCATACCACAGAGTTGCATTGGCTCGATTCGTGCTGAGCTGTGGTTAAAAGAGTTCGTGTGAGGACGCATTCAAGTCTGCCGCTGTTTTGAGGTTTTGGGGCTTTGGAGTTGTGCTTCAGCAGCAGCAAACAGCAGAATCGAAGTCGCTGTCATCGTCGCACGTCGTCGTAGTAGTATTGCAGTAGTACTACGTATTACGAAGAAGGTATTATTGTTATTTGTAGTAGTAGTAGTAGTAGTAGTAGTAGTAGTAGTAGTAGTAGTAGTAGTAGTAGTAGTAGTAGTAGTAGTAGTGGTGGCAGTGGCAGTGGCAGTAGTCGTCGTCGCCGCAATATTCGCACTAGTACCGGTACTAGCACTATATAGTACGAGTACTAGCAGTGCAAGCAGTGCTAGCAGAAATGGCAGTACTGGTAGTACTAGTGGTACTGTGAGTACTAGTAGTACGGGTACGTGTACTAGTCGCAGTACGAGTGCTGACTCGCATTTGCAGTTGTTGTTGTGGTCGTTGTTGTCTTGGTGCTGTTGGTGCTGTTGCTGGAGGTGTCAGTTGTTCCATGCCCTTCCTTCTGCTGCAGTGTTTATACCTGTCCGCACTGCCCCCTGTCATATGCACTGCCGTAGAACGGTGATGATGAAGTTGTTGTTTGGGTCTATGGAATGTGCCGAAAGACCGTCGAATGTAGCTTTGTCAATGGTAAACAATTGTAAGCTTATCGACATGAGGTGGCCAGAAACAGAGACACAATGCCAGCTTCTGTGTTGAGTTTGCGGTTACTTCGTTTCCGGACACCTCAACACCGAGGCCCCAAAGCCTGAAACGCCAGAGCTGCAAACCCGAAAGTCTCAACCCCTGCAACTTCAAAGCCCTAGCTCAAACTTTAAGAAGGTCGGCCCCAAGCTCTGAAGCATGTTAAGCCCTGAACGGTGGAAATCGAGAGAGCTAAATCCATAAATCCAAGCTCGAAGTTTCATGTTCGAAGACTTTAACTGTTTGCATGAGGGGCGGGTCCGAGTACGTCCTGTACACTAACCATGACAGAGACATCGCGGGGAATGAGCAGAGCTGTCTCTCTTTGTAAGGCCGCCACGTGTAGGCCTCGTAGAGGTTTTATTATGGGTTTGGTGTGGTTAGGGTTGAGGACTTTTTCTGCTTGGGAGCTTCGGTTTTGAGCTGTAGGGTGCTTGGTTTGGGGCTGTTCAGAATCTCTGCAGTTGCCGCCATTCACAGCCCAAACTCTGGTTTAGAGGTGTACCTACATCATGTTGTCTAAGTGTCTAAGTTGATCCTGAATACAATTCGTTCTGTAGTTCGTCTGACCCGTGGCTACCGTCGGAGTCCCTATCGTACTGAAACTTCTCCTTCACAGTATCCGAGAAGGAGCCATTCAGCTTCGCATGGGAGGGAAGCTTGAACGGCTTAGGGTTCGGGAACCATCCTGGGCTTGAGATAACCTCACATAAGAAATGTGTTAAACCGCTTGGGACCTTCGAACTCCGGAATTAGGTCATTCACAACAGCGCAAATATATATATATATATATATATATATATATGTACATGCGTGTATGGGTGTGTGTGTGTTATGTATTCATGCCTGCAAGCATGTATGTATATAGGCATGTGTATGCAAGTATGAGCCTAGGGACCTTGCCTGAGTGTGAATTTGGCAGCTGGCACTGCTGTCTAGCATACGTATACATATGTATGTATGCATATAGTAATGTGGTTTTATTCACGTGTATATGTGTATTATGCACGATCCTCCTGCCTCGTGGTTCGGCTGCACCCTAAACCTGGAAACCTCGACTCCGAAACTTAACGCCTATACTACCCAACCAAATTCTTGCAACTCCACGAACCCGCCCTGCAAGCCAGCCACGACCCTTTTTGTGTTTCGACAAACCTGCTTTAGCAATCCAACAACATAACCAGAACAAAGTGTTGCAATTCAGGGTCAAGCAGAGCCCTGTAGAATGTAGAGTAGAACCTTTATAACAGAGACCGTCTTGGATAATTGCCTGTCTGAAACATCTTACAGAGAACCCTTATTCGGTACAAAATCTGACATTGACCCAAGGAGTCGTTGGTGAGTCCCGGTCCGGCAAGGTTTTGGAGGTGCTACTGGCCAAGAATGGAAAGAGTCAGTTGTAGCTGTCCGTGCATATGTTGCATTGCATTGTGAAGGACCGTAGGATCGCTCAGAGGCGCAAGCGTGCGCTAAGAATGCACAGTGCCAAACTCCCAGGCGTGAGGGAGGAGACACCGGGCAAGCACGTGGCTTGAACAAAAGTTCACCTCTACATCCTCCAACCTTGAACTGTGAGGAACTGTACGCAGGAGATGGCACATTAGGAACGATCAGCTCCTGCCCGGCAGTGTCAGGCCAGATAGCAGAGGTAAGCAGCAAAAACACCCTGCATGCTTACAGAACGCACTCTGCCCTCTCAAGGCATTTACGGCATACAAACATGTGTAGATACATAGGTATAATTATGTATAGAGCACGCATACCGAGCCGACCGCAACCGCGCAAGATCTAACGAAAGACTTCACCCATATCACTTGAAGATATTTCTGCAGGATTCTGTGGGTCTAGCTAGAACCTCTTCCTCACCCATTGACTTCAAATCACAGGCTCGCATATCGTTAAATGATGTGCTTACGTTTTGCACATGAAGATTGAAATCGAGGTCAGCAAGCCAATCTTCGGTAGGTGGATTTCAGCATGTGCTGATGCTCAGCGCTTTTTTAAATTCATTGCTCGGTACACGAATCTCGGGAGTTAAATGTGTTTTGAACGATTGCTTATCTGAGCACTTTTGGTTTGCACATAGGCTAAGAGTTGAAGGAAGTCGAAACTTTGGAGAGTTTCGGCTTCAAGCGTTATGAAGGGGTTGTACTTCATGGGTCATCACTTGTACGCACGTTAAGACAGTGCCAGTATGATTGATTGTTTCTTCGTTTTCGGAAAGCATGCTTTGCTCAATGCCGATGGTGCAAACAGAATGTTGACCCGGTCAGCGGCTGAACCTGCGCACGTTTCTCAACTCCCTCGCGCATGGTTAGATAAACCCTAAACCCTAAACCCTAGATAAACCCTAAACCCTACACCGAAGGCACAAACATCAAATCCGCATGAGCAATGGGTCAGGCGGGAAGAGCCTTCAGAGTTCGCGGCTCAAAAGGCCTTCGAGACTTTAAGCATAATCTGATTTGGCTTGAGGCTATGCCACAGTCTAGTCGCCAACTAGCCCAAAATTAAAACATGAGTCGCGATACAAAGCCCTGAAAAACATTCTTGTGGGAAGTCGTACAAGAACCTCATACAGTGCTACAAGATGACACACATCCGCCTCGTTCACAGGTGCTTGCCGAAATCGTGTTCTTGACCAAAACCGGCGCTTGACCTGATGATCAGTTCAGGGTAGGGTTTGGGCTGCGGTTTGCTGCTATGTGGAGAAACTCTTCACCCTGCCCTACCCTTCCCTGTTAGAGTCTCGGGGTTGAAAGTTGGTTGTGGGTGTGAGTGATGGCCCCAAGCACAAGACGGCCCACTTTCGGAAACGGTACCACCAAGTCACCTTTTGCTCTACGCCGCCCTATGTGCGCAAAATGCCAAGCTGTTCGTCCCAGGTGACAGCTGGGAACAGATTGTTACACAAATGCTGACCAGCACGACCACTGATATGTCTGACTCCCAGACCCTGGGATCGCCAGTCAACGACTGGGCAAAGGACCCGGACTTTTGTTTACAATCGCCATGATCATGAGCAGCTTTGAATCGATTTAACTTCGTTAAGTGTTATTACGTTTGCTGTTACTTGGTAGTTTCGTCACGCCAATTCAAGAGGCATGATTAAGCAATTTTGGCATCAGTGTTTCACTGTTAGGTTTGATATTGCTAGATGTTGGCAGCATCGCCGTGGGTATGTAAGCGGTGCTTATAGCTTCAGATGCTTAGGATTTTATTCAGGGTTGTATTCACTTTTGACTAGGGTTTAAGGGTTCAAGGGTTGGGGCTTAAGGGCTCAGAGATTGCATGAGTCTAGAAGAGCGCTTCGGTGATCCCTGGACCCAGCCTTAAACTCCTTCTCTCAGCCCTTATGCTAGGGTGTGCGTAGGGGTTGGGGATTAGTTTGGGCATCTAAGCTCCAAGACCTTAAAAGGCCCGTTTATCAGCATTGGGCTTCTTCAATACGAGGGATGCCGTTTGGGCACCGCCCCAGGAGTCGAGTCGTAAGCATCCGAAGAATGACTTGCATCCCTTTCCCCTGGGCCTGAAGGCTCAAAATCAACTAAGGCTCCGCTCCTCAGCGCACCAATTCTTCTGCGGGAATCTGATGGTTCTTATCAGGGTTCTGACCATTGATCCGAAAAATTTGTGGGTGATATTGAACCATGTCTGGTTCGCATCAGGTTCCCGCACGAATTACCTCACCCTCCCCCCCAAATCCAACCTGCAGAACCTGAAAGTCCATTTACTCTACCTGGAGCCCCAAAGAACCCTTAAAGGAACCCTTTTGGTACCCTTTAAAGGAACGCTAAGACCTAAAGCCCTGAAGATTCCAAGCAGGGGAAGTCGTGGCTCATTGGCACCGGCATCAGCACACCAGGGGGTAACGGCCCGGGAGCGTGCCACCAGAAGTACCTGCATCTGGGGCTTATGAAGTGATAGCGGGGCTCCGGTTCGCAAATGCATGTTTGGATTTTCTGCGAAGCGTACAGGTATCAAACCCCTTCAGTCAGGTTTCGAGCCTGCCATGGGGCTTGTGAGGTTCAGAGTTTTGGAATAATGTGCATGGGTTTAGGATCCACCCTGACATCACACCCCCAGGAACAGATCCTACATTGTACAGGATCGTATTTTTGCAAGTGCCCCCGTAATTGTGGTTGGGCATCCTCTGTTGCCGTTATTTGGTGCTGAAGCCCGAGTGTGGAATTGCAATTTCATTGTTTCTGCGGGTTAGGAACTTGTTGAAGTCGGAATGGCCTGAAGGTTTGTGTCTGTGTGTCTTGCTCACGCTACGCACCGTATTTTGGCGCGAAGTGTTTGTGCATGTTTATTTACGTGTGTCTTGTTCGAGCTCAGGACTGTTCTTGGGCACGAAACACCGATTCTACAGCATGCCTGCGGCTATGACTTGTTCTCGATGACAACGTTCATCTACGAGAGCCGCAGTCACAAGGCCGACGCATGGAAGTACACCGCGCCGCTCGGAGTGCACTATACCTGCGCTGTGTACTACGGTTCAAGGTTCACAGGTGGGGGTTTAGGCTTAGGAGGGTGTAAGGTCGTCGCTCTCCCGATCGCACTGATCCATCTGACTTGTGTGCATACAGGTGGCGCTGAGCTCGAAGCATCTCCAAGCTGTAGAAGCCCGACAGAATACTTACTGTGCCTACAGCTTCTCATTGACGGGTCCTAGGAAGCATAGTCTGGCGGGTGGCACGACCCATCAAGCATCCACGCTTCAACCCCAAAACACTCTTTGTTCCTGGCGTCTGAACTCGAACAGCTTGGCTCCCTACCCCGCAAGAATCCACACTGCACATCCTGACCGGATAAGCTCAGAGCCTATGGCACGAAGGACTCATTTGTGAAGGCTTCTGGGCCGAAAGATCATACCGCATAAGGCTTTGGGGTTAAGTTGAGCCTTTGGATAAGTCTTGCTGAAGCCAGAAGCCCACACAGCCTTCAAATACTGTACTGTATATATAGGAACTGTATATGACCGTGAGAAAATACAGAAACGCTGCCAAAAGACTTCGTGCTTATTAACAACACTAAGCCAGGCCTTTGAATGGCATGGCTGCTATTTGGACGCCTGCTCGCTTCAGCACTGTGCTCGGTGACCTGTCTTGGCTGGATCTTTGCCACGAAGCATTTTGTGAATCGAAGCTTGCAGTACTTACTTGACCAAGCGGTTCCATGTTACAAATCCGCCCGTCAAGAAGACAATTAGGGTTCAGAGTTCTCGAGGTATTGTAGAAGGTCTGGGGCTAAGGGTTTAGAGTTTTATTAGAGTTTGCTATTCAGGGTTTGAATTTTAGTTTTGGTGGTTCGGGGCTTTTTGTGTTACCTACAATCTCACAATCGTAGCTCCTTCATTTGAGTACCATAGTTCTTATCAAAGGATTCTGAGTCAGATGTCTACAGACTCAACTCGAGTTCTTCACCCTGGTATAGACACCTGAATATTTTGGGCAAGACTATCCCTTGACTTACCGGGAATCCTTGGTCTACTCAGACTAGAAGATACCCCAAGCCCCTGTTCCAGTTTGTAAGGCCCCCGTCGGTTTAGGGTTTAGGGTTTCCCCCATGCCCGGCTCAACTCCAGGTTCCGGTGCTCCGAATCCTTCCCCGATGAAGTTTTGTGAGCTCGAGGAGTGCGGGAACCTGCATCTTGGGCTGTTGTGATGTTTTTTGGGGTTTAGGGTTTAGGGTACCCAAGAGTGCACAAGGTTGGAGACCAAGTGATCATTTTCCAACTTATGAAACAGCCGTTTCAGGGTTTGCTTACAGCCTTTCAGCTTTACTGGTGTTTCCACGGGTTTCTGCATGGTTTAGGGTTTGGGGCTTACGCAATGGTTAGTGGATTTTGTACTTGTTCATGCTCCGTCGTAGCGCCTAGAACAATTCGATCCTGAAAGACATATCAACAACATCATCCGCATACGCCCAACAGAATCATGGTTAATCGCTCCCCCAGTTGTTAAGCATCTCTATATTCTGACAATAGTAACAGTAATCATCACCGTCATCATAGTCATAATCACATTGAAACGCCCTTGAAATCATCCCCAACTTTTACAAGCTATATTGAGTTAGTGGTATGTGCAAGCAAGAGCTGAAGCAAAGGCAGGAGCAGCAGCAAGAGCAGGAGCAGGAGCAAGAGCCGCAGAGCCGCAGAAGGAGCTGGAGCAGGACCAAGAGCCAGAGCAGGAGCAAGACTCTCCGCAGTGTACAGATACACCCTAATAACAAAAACGCTTCTGGCGTGTTTATTGATGGCGGCCGGGTTAATAATCGGGTGAAAGGATGGCTACCTGTGTCGGTTTATTTCAGCCACTTAGGTCTCGGTGTCTCATTTTTTGTGTCTTCCTAAGGCAACTCCAGTACCAAGCGAACGGGAAGCCCGCCGAACCCCCAAACCAAAATGACTATACCTTCGCTACGAGTGGCACGTCCTTGCTTTCGGCCGTGAGCGCATCCTCTGCAGCCGTGGCCTTTTCCGTTGTTCCTCGGTCAAATTCGGTGTGTAAGCGTACACGGACGTCGACCTAAAGATAGCAGCCGGGCTGTTTGTCCCTGGTTGTTCCCGCTTATGGCGATTCTTGGTCCTTTGCAACTAGTTGTGGCTTCTGCCATTGCAAAGTGCCCTTTTGCTTGTGACAAGGATCAAGAGACCCCGAAATCCCTCCCAGAATGCAAGGTACATCCAAGTGCGATGATCAGAGGATCCTAGAAGCCAAAAAGCCATGCATGAATTGTTTTATCGCACAGGGTACAGGGAAATCCAGAAACTTCCATCCCCTACAATACCCACGCGTGATCTAGCAGGAATTTTGAATCGCTGAAACTGGGTCTATGGCCTAGGTTTTGCTGAGCCATATCCTTGACTCTTGAGAGGCTCTTGGCAAGGTCGGCATCCCTCCATTTCTCGCTAAGCTGTCGGGCATGGTGATGAAGCAGAACGATCCAGGCTCGTGGCCGGGATTCATCGAGGAACCCTTTCTAAGATGAGATCTTGAAGGCAGAGCCCGTGTAAGTGGTTCGAACACATATGTACGGTAGCCGGCAGCCCCCCCCCCTAAAGCCAAACACTCTGGACCAACCGCGCAGTCTGCAAAGTAGTCTCCCGGCGAGCACCGGCTTCCTTCTACAAGCACGGATCTACTCCTCAAGTATTCATGTACTGCACATATGTATGGCATGGTGGGTGAGCAGCACCGCATGGGCGCTGATAAAGACACTCATATCGGAAACGAGCAAATCAAAGCAAAAGGAAACGCACGGATAGCTTTGCCCTCGGCAGCGTTTTGAAAACTTTGCATCGCTGCTTCAGGATTCGACGAACAGTCTCAGACTGACCCGGCTCAGCCAGGAGTTGTTAGTCCGAGTTTATTCATTGATGCATTCCGATATCTCAACAAAACCATAATCCCACATGAGTATAACAACTATGATGTAAAGCCATATAGAGCCGGAAACTCCCACACCAAAGCCATAGCCTAGGTAGGCCTTTGGGACATTTTATATTTTCCGTTATTGGGCTTAATAGGACCCTATTTACGAATATTATTGAGAGGCTTTAAAGGGCCAACCTAGTAGCCCGTACAGGTTACCGGCCAACGGTCTCCGGTTCTGGCAACGGGTTCCGGGGGCTTGTGGCGTATGTTTTGGGTTCAGAATTTCAACTGGGGTTTCGAGAGTCCTAGTCCTAGCTGGCGGGTTTGGAGGGGATTTCAGGAGGCACAAAAACGATGCTACAGGAACTGACTGAGAATCAGAAGTCGGACCCGCAAATGACATTTGCTTAGACTTTAGTGCTTCTGTCCCTCCTGAGGCCATTGGCATGATGTACTTCTGTACGCTATAAACTGCCCTTATTCTTAACTAACCTCGAAGCCCAGAACCTAAATGCTAAACTGGACATTCTAAACCTTTGCCCGGAACACTAGGCCGGAAACCCAGCACAGCCTATACCTGGCACAGACATTGAACCCTGCACTCCAGAGGAGAGTTCGGCGCCCTCAACCCTTACCACGAAACCCGAGACCCCACACCCAAGATTCAAAGACAGGACTCATGGCGAAACTGAAAGCAGCGTTGTCAAATCTTATGTACCCTGGCGGTGAATCAGAGATTGAGGTCTTAGCGTTTCAAGCTTGGGCTGGAGTTTGGTGTTCAGGCTCAAGTATCTTCGAGTTGTAGGTCTGTGGCTACGTATCTTTGCGTGTTTGGTTTAACCCGCCTTCACCTGAAATATCTGTACTAGCACGCACGACCCCAAGAAGCATGATGAGAATCTGTAGCTTGCAATTCTCAATGCGGTACAGTACATATATAAACCCTAATCGAAGCAGAGCTCTAGATGTCAAGCTTCAAGCTTCATGCCTGAACCGTAAGCCTAAGCTCAAAGCTCGGCAGCGCAGACACTTCAAGGGGGGGTCGTCGTAGGTAGCTGTAAAGGTTTAGGGTTTCAGGTTTTGGGGTTTGGGGTGTAGAGACTCAGCGGTTCAGGGTTTTGGGTTTGAGGTGAAGAGTTTCGCAGTAGTTGAGCAGGCGTGACCCTTAAGCTCCAACATGGACTCGTTTGGGAATCATGTCATAACCCTGTCATAATCGGGTTTGGGGATGTTTCACCCCCCATGACGAGGTTTTTGTCGCAAGGGATCCTTGACGGGGCTTTGGCTGAGGGGTTGTGTAGGACATTACAGGTTGACATAGGGCAGTGCGGCATGGTTTGTGTTGTCAGGGTTGCGGTGCTAGGGTTTAGGGTTTCACGGTTTAGTGTTTGGGGTTTAACAGTTTTGGCGGTCCAGAATATGGTTTCGGCCGTGGTGGGCACCATGTCAGCCCTACCCTACAACTGCCCGCAAGCCTGAACCCAAGAGCTCTCGTGAACCCGAAAGCCAGTAACATGTCACAAGTTTCGATCCATTCAACCCCCCAACACCTAACAATAGCAACGCAAGCTAAGCAAGACGGACGAGTCACAGGGTCTCAAGGAGGGTTTCGGGAGGTTCCAGAGACGCCCAGGAGGTCTCAGATGGGTCCGCGTAAATAACAGTTAGGTAATTCAAGTCTTGTGAGCACGAAATAACAAGTCTTTTAAGCCCCAAGCCCCGCACCAGCGTAAAAAAAGCTCTCAATTCCCTGGAGGTACGTCTTTAGACTAAGTAATTACAGTTTAAAGCTCCGCTCAGCCAGGGGCACGTCGGGAAAGTTGGCGGTTTGGGCGGAATCAGCCCAGAACGCTAAGATCGCGTTCACCGAGGCAAGACATAAGTTTATGGTTCAAGCAAACGGGTGGGGGGTTTTCGCGCACCCTCAAGTCTTGAAACCTCAGGCTCGGGTTCGAAAGCAGGATCGCATTCTCGAAAGAAGGGTCCTTTTGAATGGGACCCAACTACAGAGCCACCTAAGAGCACTAGTGCTCTCTGCGGCTTTCCAGGTGGGTGAGCGATTCCAAAACTGCCCCACGCTTTATCAAGTACAACATGCTGCGGTCGCTGGGGCAACAGGAGGAGCGCTCCGGGCCCAAAACCCTATAGCTACCCATGGGCCCCAAAGTAGTTCCTTTTTGGCATTACCTCATAGGATTCTATATACGAACCCCAACAAGGAATTACTTTGGGGCCTAAGGGTATACACCCTAAACCTATATCCTATAAGCCCTGAACACCAAGGCGTGATCCAGGAAATCAGGCTCTGCGGTTTGGGGTTATGGATTGGTCTTCAGGCAGTGTTCTACCCTAAACCCAAGTACGTAGACCTAAAACTAAGGGTCCATGTACCCAAATAGTACAGACATTGGCCTCAAAGTGCCTATAGAGGGACCCCTTTAGGGCCAAAGTATATACTAGTTTGGGTATAAGGACCCTTACAGTAACAAAGTAGGTGCTGCGGCCCCTGCGCATGGAGCCTAAACCCTAATCTACGACCGGAGTCGCGCCCAAGTTAAGCCGATAGAACCCGAATAGGGCCCTTAAGCTTTCGGTACTTGCTTTAAGCTCTACAGAGGCCCATATGCCATGAGCCTTGAAGCTGATGCGACACTTTTGGAAGGCCTGTCAATCAAGACTGCCCCCGGTAAGACAATCCGAAACCCGAAAGAATATGCCATATGCACCTGTTAAGAGACCCCTAAGCCTGAACAGTCACCCCTAAACCCGAAACCCTCATCCATCGACATCGCAAGGCCTGAAACCTCCAACCCACAGCCCTAAACGCAAACCCTCCTAACGGAGACTTCTTGCAGCTTGCTTTGACTTTTTGCAGTCGACAAAGAGCCCTGAACAAACACAACGACCCGAACCCTACACCGGAAGGCCCTAAACCCCGAAGCCTAATCTCACTACCCCAAAACCGAAAATGTAAACCCTCAACCCTAGACACTCAACCCCAAACACGAAACTGAAAACCGTATACCAGAAACCCCAAACACGAAACGGTGAATTCTAAACTCAAAGGGGCTAAACCCTTCAAAAGGGCCTACAAAAAAGGAAAACCACACACACACACACACACACACACAACTTACCTTTGGTCAGTAGGGGAAGGAAGAATGGTAGTAATAGTAGCTATAATTGTACCCCATTCCTCCATTCCCTACTAACCAAAGGAAAGATCCCTTTAAAGGAACCCTAAACCCCTATAGATCCCTTTAAAGGAACATTGTAGATCCCGATAAAGGAGCCTTATAGATCCCTTTGAAGGAGCCCTAGAGATCCCTTTTAAGGTAATTTAAAAGCCCCGAGGAGCTCTACGGCCTCTCACGGCGGTGCTTCGAAGTCCTCGACAACCGTGTCGAAGCGACCCGGACTTTGTCTAGGTGGCAGTTTGGGAAACTTGTTCATTTCCCTTCTGGTTCTTGTAAAGGTACCAATTCATAAATACGTTTCAGAGCCCCAAAACTGCAGCCCAGTTGTAGAAAAGAGGAAATCGGGCGTAGGGTGTAGGGTTTAGGGTTCCGTTAAAGGGATCTATAAGGGTTCCTTCAGGTGTTTAGGGGTTTACAGTGTAGGGGTCTGGGGGTTTAGAGTTTTGGAGTTTTGGGGTTCATAGGGTTTTGGAGTTTAGGGGTTTATCGCGTTAAGGGTTTTAGGGTTTACGGTTTAGGGTTTAGGGTGTAGAGTTTCAGAGCGTGTCATTGGGCAGTTTCAGCCCTGTGATGGTGTTGATGGGGTTCTAGGTGGAGGTCGTAGCGATATCACATCATTGGGTTTGATGTTTTGTGGGCGCAGCACCACAATCAAAGAGTTTCATAGTGTTGCAGCGTTTGTCTGGGATCTTCATCGCAGTTTGCAAGGCTTCATAGGGCTTCAAGGGGTTTTTGATATCCCACCAAAAAGCCAAGGCCTATGTGCTGTCTGCTACATAGACGTGTTGGGGTTTCATGGTTTTAGTGATTGGGGTTTAGGGTTGGGGTTCACAAGTTTTGGGCTTTGGGTTTAGGCTTGGGGTTGAAAGGGCTTCGGGTCCAGGGTTTAGGGTCCGAAAGCCATGAGCCCAGAAAAAGCCCCCTGTACAAGCCCAAACCCCCTACAGCCCCCAAAGGGCCCCTAAACCCTAAACCCACTAAGCCCAAACCCCCCCCAAAATTGCCCTGAAGCGCCTAAAGGCCCGAAAGCCCGTAAACCCCTAGGATGCTCAGTAGTACCCTTATTCCCTTTTTGTAGTCCTAGGTTCCTTATAAAGTTACCCAATACCAAAAAGAGAGGCCTTTTTATTCTTAGGTTACTGGGTATCCTAGCCGTTAAACCCAGGCGATCATGGCAATGCTCATGGAGACGTCTCCCGGTCAAGCCTTTGACGTGCCTCACATCGCCGCGGCGGAAGGGCTCCTGGGCAGATGTGGGGCTTAGTATAGGGGGTTTGGGGTTTAGGGTTTAGGGTTTTTGGGTTTAGGGTTTAGGGTTAGGGTTTTGGGGTTTAGGGTAAAGGAGCCAATAATTAGGTACTCGGTTTTAGGATAGTAGCTATGTACGTTACTATTTTTGAGAGTATATGACTATCGGGTACTTGGACTTTCAAGGATAGGGACCAAGTGCTAATACTGTTTTGGGGGTTCCTCATAGTAAGTAAAGCATACTGAGCCCGAAACCTCATCCTAATTGTTAAGGCCCCTATATTAGGGTTTAGTTTAGGGTTGAGGAAGGCTCGTTTAAGCTGTGCCTTAAAGGGCTCAGGGTTTGTGGCTCGCCTAAGGCCCCCGATTGAGGATGAGGGTGTCGGGAGTAGCAGACCGGTTCTACGTCTTGGTAAGGCTGCATTGCAGACCTTATTCCAAGCATGACAATGAGGGCTTTGTAAACCCGAAACCCCAAGCCCCCAGGGCTTAAACCCCGAAAGCCCTGAACCCCTAAGCACTAAACCGCCAAACCCTCATAATATAAGGTTCGTCCCCAAAGGGTCCTATGTACAGTTATGGGGGATACTTCCCTAAGGTATAATAGTAATTCCTAATATGAAAACCCTACATTCTACTATATCGGTACATTGGACCTTTCTGGGGTCTACCCCTTCCCCCAAATCCGAGGATCCGAAATACGCTGAGGCCCTACACTCTCCACCAGCCCTCCGCACTCTGCTTTCGGGTCTCTATGGACTTTAGTAGAATTATAAGTACCCTAAAAGGGATCCTAATTGTGGTTATGGTACCTATAATTCTGTAAAATAGCTACTTAGTAAGTCCCCGACCCTCCAAGTAAAGCTCTCTATAGTAGAAGCCCAAAAGTTGGAAACCCGATAGCCTCAATCCTTTTGAGTACTGTTTTACTGTTTTGGGAATCCCAGCACTATTTGTCCTCCATCAGGTTTCCAACTTTTTGGTGTCTCTATAGTCTTTACGCCTGAACTCTAAGCCCTAAGCCTCTGAACCCTGCACCAAGATAGGGTCCATACCCACCCAAACCCTAAACTCTAAACCCAGGGGTATGGGGGTATTGCGATAATTGCAGTTTGAAGTTGGGGCCGCGATCATAGGCTTCCCGTGGCTGAGGATGTCTTTTGCACTCTGTAGTTGGAAAAGCCCAAGAGTCCAAGGGTTTAGGGTTCAGGGTCGAAAGGACCCAATAATTAGGTTTACTCGGTGTATAGTTATGTAGGTTAGGACCCTTGGGAAAAGGGCCCATGCCAAGAAACAACAAACAGGGCTATGGTCTATAGGATAATGGCCAAAACCCTGCAAAAGGCCATTATTCTACATACTTTCGGGGTCCAGAGGTAGAGTTTAGGGTTTAGGGTTTAGGGCTTAGGGTAGGGTTGGGGGTATTTAGGGTTTAGGGTTTACCCTAAACCCGAAAGGGGGAGCCCTTTGGAGGCTCAAGCCGGCAGAGACGACCGAGCTCGAGAAAATGCCCTCATCTCCGCTTCTGCCTCTGTCGGAGGTGTCTCTTTCTTGGGGGGGTGGGGGGGGGGTTAGGGTTTACTTATTTCAGGGTTTAGGGTTCAGTGTTTAGGGTTTACGGGTCAGGGATCAGGGTTTAGGGGTCAGGGATCAGGGTTTAGGGTTCAGGGTGTAGGGTCCTTAAAGGTTGCATAAGCTTTAAGGCTCATGGCATAAGGCTGGCATAAGTACCCATAGAGCTTATAGATCTAGGGCTATGGGGCTGTAATTAGGTCATATCTCTAGAGGTTGCAGGTAGCGAATGGTTAAGGGCTCTTTCAGGGTTGCATCGGCTGAACTAGGGCGCGACGCCGATTTTAGAGGAGGGTTTAGGCTCCGGGGGCCGCAGTACCTACTTTGCTACCCGAAGGGTCCAAAGACCCAACCAATACATACTTTGGCCTTAAAAGGTTCCCTATATAGATTTGTTTGGCCAATGTCTACATTATTTGAGTGGGGGGAAGGGTTTGTGGTTCAGGAGTTGACGGAAAACTCAACTGTAGGGACACAAGGTTTGGTTGATTGCTTGGGGGGTCGGGGGACGTAGTACTTAGTTAGTAAATAGACTTATAAATACCCTAAAAGGGACCCTAATTGGGGTTATGGTAGTTATTAACTCCCTAAAAGAACCAGTTACTAAGTCCCCCGACCCTCCAAGTGCAGTCTAGGCTTTACACGCCGTGCAGGGATCGAGATTGTCAGGTTCAGAGACACGGAGCCTATCGCACTAAAAAATGCGGCTCTGGTTGTAGGGTTTCTGGGTTTGGGGTTTAGGAGCTGTTTACTTACCTTTGGTTAGTAGGGAATGGAAGAATGGTGGTAGCAGTAGTAGTAGCAGTAGTAGTAGTAGTAGTAGTAGTAGAAGTAGAAGTAGTAGTAGGAGTAGCAGTAGTAGCAGTAGTAGTAGTAGTAGTAGCAGTAGTAGTAGTAGTAGTAGTTGTAGTAGTTGTAGTAGTTGTAGTAGTTGTAGTAGTTGTAGTAGTAGTAGTTGTTGTTGTTGTTGTTGTAGTCGTCGTAGAAGTAGTAGTAGTAGTAGTAGTAGTAGTAGTAGTAGTAGTAGTAGTAGTAGTAGTAGTAGTAGTAGTAGTAGTAGTAGTAGTAGTAGTAGTAGTAGTAGTAGTAGTAGTAGTAGTAGTAGTAGTAGTAGTAGTAGTAGTAGTAGTAGTAGTAGTAGTAGTAGTAGTAGTAGTAGTAGTAGTAGTAGTAGTAGTAGTAGTAGTAGTAGTAGTAGTAGTAGTAACCCCATTCCTCCATTCCCTTCTAACCCAAGGTAAGTTTAGGCTCAGGAGCTTGAGAGTGCAGATTTGACTCTCGTGGGTTTCGGGATTTGGATGTGCAGGAGAAGTCTAGAAAGTGTAAAACCCGGCTTAGGGTTTAGGGTTTAACCCAAAAACCGTACCATCTAGGGCTCACCCACAGGCAGACGATATCGTGGAGCAGCCGCATTCCACGCGACCCACCAGCTTGCAACCTTTGGCGGAGGCAAGCAAAGAGATTGTTTAGGATGCTATACTTACGATTTTACTATACCGAGGTTACTAGTAATGAAACCCCAAACCCCCTGGCTCCAATTCTGCCTGCATGGCCAAGAATAGCCGAAGACCCTACATGACCCATCTTTTGAGTGAGACGGCCTCTGGTCCCCTGAACCCTCAACTCCAAACGCTTGTTTCTGAGTGATATGACCTCTCGCTCCTTAGATCCTACCCGTCTCGTACAATCGTGTTTGCTTGGCGGTTGCAGGGTCCTGGAAAGCTCTGGTGACTGACATCGGAAGGGTTTTGATGCCCAAACATCATACCATAGAAGCCTGCATAAATGCCAAGAATTTCTCAACAGTTGTGCGGTAATATGTCCCAAAACCCTGTGCTGATGATGAAGGCTTCTAGACTACTTTTCTCAGTGGTGAGCCTTATTGAAGGACTTGCTCAAGCTTTTTCGTGTCTGGGGCCAGACGGGCAGGTTTTGGGGAAAGGGTTCGTAGAATGAAAGCCTCAGCTCTTAACCCATAAACCCGCAAACAGTCAGTGCTAAACCCCAAAGTCAAATTTAAATAGAGTAAGAGGAAGTCGTGTGTCGGCATTAAAGGTCTGTCTTTGGGTTTGGGGATTTTGTTGTGGTACCTGCCACCGCCGCAAGGTTAGCCGATTCCGGAAATAAACAATGAATTCAGCAAGTAGGTAGGTAGGGTATTTGTGGAGCGGGGGCTCACCGTGTTACGCGCTCTTGTCGGTGCAGGATAAACTTTTGGACGAGGGTCTGGGGTTTATGGTGGTTCAGGGTTGCAGGGGGTTGTAAGGTTTGGGGTTTATAGGCCCGAGTGCTCCAATCACCAAAAACTTGACTCAACGCTCGAATGTCCTCAGCTGCAATCCAGCAGACAGAAGACTTCTCACAGCTCGAAGTCCCGGGCTCCAAACCAAGAAACAACGCCAAAACCGGCAATCCGAAGCTGTGCCCGGAATTTAGCCGATGAGCCGAATGCTTTGCTGGAGTAAACCGAAGCCCGACAATCCTACCTGCGAGTCATTTAAGGATCCTACTGCTGAAGGTCTATTCTCGTGTTTTCTGACTCCTACCATGAACTCAAACCCTAAAAGCCCATGAAGCCGCGAGAAGGCGTCTGCCACCAGGGAGAAGATCGCGCCACTCGGCCCAGACAGATGTCAGAGTGGGAAACAGCGCGTCATTGCGCTCGTAGTAAGTACAATAACTCTAAACTCTAAACCCAGGGTTGGACGGTTTTGCAGGCAGGTGGCAGTAGAGGAGATATTTCGGCGCAGTCCTGCTGTGCAGTTTAGAAGCCGGGGCTCGAGTAATCTGAATCCTGACAAAAGCCCAACAAGCTCCTCTAAATCCCAACACTCAGCCCTCCTGCGGCAAGCCGCCCGTTGCAACGAATCTCAAGCACTTCTGACCCACAAGGCCCTGAACCCCAAGCCTGGACCTGTGTGGCCTCAAACCCAACCCTATGCCCCACCCGGTTTTGCTGGGTCCGAATACAGACCCTGATCTGCAAATGGGACCCTACACAAGCAGCACAGTGTACTCGTGTACCGGTTGAATTCAATTCAAGCCCCCGAGACCCTTCGAAGGCTAAGGCGACACAACGTTGACCCAAGCAAAACGGCCTTAGCAATAACCCTCGACCCGAGACAACACGACCTTAAGCCCGATACATCCGACGGATTGTGATCCAAGACATGCAGGCAGGCAGACGGTCATCCAGATCCAGCAGACATCTCCGCGAAATCTGTGGCCGAAAAGGGGCTCATGGCACTCGCTTCTCGAATTGTTTTGGAGGGATTTTGGATGTTAGAGGGCTGGGCTTGTCGGGTTTAGGGCTTCAGGAGTTTAGGTGGTGCTATTCTGGGCAGAAAATGGCTTCATTATGCATGGTTTTCTTACAGGGTGTTGGCGTTCCG